TTGCAGCAGGACCCATGTATGTTTATTGCGCAAAAGGGTGAGCGAACAATGATAATTGGTGTTTATGTAGATGATATAATTTTGGCAACGGATGACGATGTTTGGATGCGTGATAAAAAAAAATTGTCAGATTCATTTGAAATGAAAGATATGGGTAAGATAAGTAATTGTTTAGGTATTGAATTTAGTCGTGATGATGAAAACAGAGTTTATATGAGTCAAAAGTCGTATGTAAGTAAAATATTAGAGAGATTCAGTATGAGTGAGTGTAAGCCTGCAATTACACCTATAGATGTCAATGTTAAATTAAACAAGCCTGAGTGCGTAAAAAATGACATTATGGAACAATATCCATATCAAAGCTTGGTAGGTGCTTTAATGCATCTTGCTGTTCTAACTAGACCGGATATTGCGTATGCTATTAATTATTTAAGCCAATTTAACACTAACTATGATATTGAACATTGGAAGGCTCTTAAACGTGTACTTAGGTATCTGAAGGGTACGTCAGATTACGGTTTAGTGTATGAAAGAACAGGTTTACCTTTGTTTGGAGTCGTTGATGCAGACTGGGGTGGAAATACGGTAGATCGTAGATCCTATTCTGGTTTTGCATTTATTTTAGCAGGTGCTCCTGTTAGCTGGGAGGCACGTAAACAACGCACTATTGCCTTGTCGAGCACAGAAGCCGAATATATGGCTCTGTCCGAGGCTACTAAAGAAGCTGTGTACTTGCGAGATATTTTATGTAATGTCGGGACTGATTGTGAATGTGTAATGTTATTTAACGATAACCAGGGTGCCATCAAACTGGCTCAAAGTAAGAACTACCATTCACGAACCAAACATATTGATGTGAGGCATCACTTTATTCGTAATATGTACGAACAAGGTGTAATTAATCTCAAATATTTACCTACTGATCGAATGCCTGCAGATGTTTTGACCAAGGGTTTGAATGGGACAAAGCATCATGAATGTCTACGTAATTTAGGTATGATGGATGAATGTATGTAAAGGCTGGAGATTAAATTTACTCACGACTTCGAGGGGAGGTGTTGGTATAGAACGAAGTGCGTGAGGTTGCCATCTGGCGCATAATATGTAAAACTTTTCTATTAGATAGATGTCCACACAATACTTGTACCGGCTTCACCGTTGATTCTTATTTTGATTATTTAAATATAGTAATATTCGTGCAATACGGCCTTTTTATTCATAACTCTTCATATTGTATTTGTTTTAAATCTCGTACTATTTGGTAAAATTGAAATGTTCTGGAATAAAAACATTTTCATTTTTGTAATAAAAGCATTAATTATTATTAAAAAGTTCAAACGAAACATAAAATCGAAGTAACATTCAATTCAAAGACATATTCACAAGTAGTATATTTGTGAAAGAGGTTTGAACTCACATCGCGTCACGTCCATAGTAAGAGAGTACACACGTGTCGTTGTGTCAGTCAAACGACACAATAGAGGGCGCTACTGCTTACATGTAAATATATAATTCTCTAACCTTAAACGATATAATGTTGTAGTAAATTAGCTTCATTTCAGCAACAGTTAGGTGTAGACATAACTACGGTCTCTCCAGACCCTGTTCGCAATTGTACACTACTTCATTCATTATGTGTGAAAACATTTACGGACACATAGACAAGATAGTTAAAGCGAAAACTAACAGATGGCGTTAAACACAATTTATTACTGTCCATATATCGTCCAACAAATTTTATTCACGCAAGCAGATAGTATACGGCATAAACCTAAAGCTAGTTTTATGTAAGCCAGAGGGCACTGGAGATAATTCATAAAGCTTAAAGATGTTAAGCAAGACATGCTAAAGTTAGTCTTTGGATGGGTGACCATTTAAATTTTTCAAAACAGCTCTCTCAAACAAAAGCGTTATTTTTCTATAGTTCGTTCGTGCCGTCCTTAGTTCGACTTTATGTTTGTTTCTTAAGTTGTGTGTGATTTGTTTTCTATGTAACTGTATGTTCGATTGAATGGCATGAGTGGTGATATTTTTAATGAGAACACATGTGCAATATGTGCATAGTTGTGTTAGATTGAATAACTTAGATTTCTCATATAGTGTTTTTGTGGGTGTAGAATACTTATAATGGAAAAGGGTTTTAATGAGTTTGTTTTGGGTTCTTTTTAGGCTTAGGTTAGTCTTAGCAGCTGATCTCCATTTAGTTCATTTGAATACACTAGAATACGTTATAAAGTGTACGAGTTCAATAAAACAAGTAAGGAAAGAATCTAGAACGAATTTTCGTGCGTTTAGGCGTTTTTGCCATACCTATTATTGGCAGCAAGTACAACGGCTCAAACATAGGATACCCACTCACTCAGTTGTACAGTCTCTTCTTTATGCCTTTAGGCTTAATTCATTCTGTCTCCTGCAGTAATTCACCGAGAGAAGGGGAAACTATAGTTTTTTCTTCTCCTCTTATAATATTCTGATTCATTTCGTTGCGGGAACCAAGACAGTTACTCATGTCCCTGGGTCGCGCCGGACTTCAGTGTTCCGGTGTTTTCATGGTTGTATCTACTGTAGATCCTGGCTTACAGGAGTTGCAGCGGTTTTGGGAGGTTGTGGCGGGCTTGTCCCATAAAAAAAAGTAAGAAAAGAAATAAAGATAAAGAAAAACCATTTATTATGCCACGACACACATGTAGACAACAATATTATCTATACTTCTATACTAATATTATAAAGAGGAAAGATTTGTATTTTTGTATGTTTGTAATGAATAAACTCAAAAACTACTGAACCGATTGCAATAATTTTTTCACCATTCGAAAGCTGCATTATTCAGAAGTAACATAGGCTATATAATATCACGCTAGGTCCTATAGTTGTGGAGCAGCAACCAAAAATGTTTTTAAAAACGGGGGAAAAGTATCGTTTCTGAGGCCTTCCGTGGCGTGCGCTGAGCATATAGTTAAAGTTATACAAAAATTTTCTATGGATGAATTGTTTATCTTAACATTATTTTTAAAAAAGTCCGCGAGAGCATATGTCTACCTTTTATAGTTTACCCATAACAATCGTTTTAATGAATGGTTCAATCCTTATAAAAGTTTGCTCTAGATAACTTTTGAATTGTTCAATCGGTTACCTTAAGACGCGACATCGACAACGGAGGGCAGGTCGCTAAAAAAAAAACTGAGAATAAATATAAATAAAACGTAAAACTATGTAAAAAATCTTAAGTCCCCCGTGCGAAGCCGGGACGGGCCGCTAGTAAATCATAAAATGCTTAAAATATCTTTGTTAGGAGAAAGATTTTTTGCACCTTTAAGTGACTCGCGGACAAGTCACCAATTAGATATCAGCAATTTAACTCGTCGAGTACCGGTTTTATAGACACAATTAAAGAACAATAGGTCGCAGTCACCGGTGTCCTCACGGTGTTTTACAGTTTAAAGGACAATGACAACAAGGTTCAAAGATACCATCTACAAATAATATATCAAAACGTCCGTGCGTCACTGCAGGGTGCCAACTGAAAATCAGTGTTGTGTGCTCACTGTGCCCAGCTTTTAGCTGAGTTGGCGACCCATTCGGCTTGGGCATGTCTGCCAATATCGCGGAGAACTTACATACATACATACATAACATCACGCCTTTTATACCCGAAGGGGTAGGCAGAGGTGCACATAGAAGTAACACCCACTTTTCACTATTTATGTTATGAGTCCCATGTAATAGGGGGTGAGCCTATTGCCATATACCGGGCACATTTCCAGACTCCGTGCTACTACTGAGATTTTTAAAAAACCCAGTAATACTTTGCCCGACCCGGGAATCGAACCCGAGACCCCTTGCCCGGCAGTCGCACTTGCGACAACTCGGCCAACGAGGCAGTCGCGGAGAACTTATATTATACCTATCTATTTTTATTATCTTCTAGTTTTATAATTTAGCTTTTATCTTTTATTCTCACTCTCTTGTATTACACTTTTATACTGTTATTTTATCAAATTGTATTGTATTGCAATTTTTTGTTCCTTGCATTCATGCCGTATGCCGAATTAAACTCTTTTCTTTTCATTTCATTTCATTTCAAAAGCTTCCGTATACATAGTATTAAGAAATAACATGTAACAATAGGTATTGGGCTTATACAGTCGCCAACTACAATTAACTGATAAAAAAACTATACAATCGAACAAGGAAACTGAAAGAAACATACTACTACTTACGAAATCAATATTCTTATGTTAAAAAAAACATATCACTTAACAGTATAAAATGACAATGCCAAATCCTGACCCAGTCATATTATCATTTACAAAAAAAGTAAATCGATGAAAATAATTTTGACGAATAAGGAACCTTTTCACAATAAATCTTATTATTTTTAAACTTGCGGTTTATAATTTAATAAAAAGAGAAGTCCAATCCCGGAAATACTGTTTTGCAATGCGTATTCCATATTGTCTAATGACTATTTGCGTTACATCATACGCATCGCTTTTACGAAACTATGAAAATATAAAAGTAAGTAACTGTAAATAAAGATATCATTATACATAAAATATAATATCAAAAGTATAATTATGTATAATATTTATTTATTTATTAATAATTACAGATGAAATTACGAAAATATAAAAGAAACGATTACTATCATTAGTTATGATTTTTTTGTGTAACGAAACGTTTTGAAGCGCTCGTCAGCTGTCAGCTGTCAGTGTCAATATTATCTTTCATCCGCTCTCTGCGTTTCCGTTATTTTCGTGTTACATATCATTATTGTTTTGTGTTTTAAACAAAAACGCAAGTTTTACAGGTTTCAGGACAAATGTTTAGGTATCGGTAATTAATATACTACACGATGCTGAATACTGCATACTTGTCCATGACTTCTAATATAGTGGGTCAAAGATGTACTGAGCACCTGGCATTGTCCTTTTAAAACATAGGTTATATTAAAAATAAGAGATACACGGTAGGTATCTATATATATATATATGTATAAGGGTTCGTACACAAAACTGCGATGCGATACGAATCCGCTACGCAGACAATTACGACACGAAACGAAATTACGAACGTCTGCGATGCGATTTCGTGCGACGATGCGTCACGAAATCCATGCCGTGCCACTACTCGCTTTGCACATAGCCAATACCTAATCATTAAATGTTTCCGAGTATGGCATTAATACCTCGTTTTACCAATCAAGTACTTCAGACAATTTCCTTGTAACAATGTCGTGTCCTTGACAATTTCCTTTGTCATTTTTCCTTCCTATAATTCTGCGTCGCTTCGGTAAAATTTCAAAATTTTCATTCGCATCACTTTTTTCGCCCGTCAAAAACGAATAAACGTCTAGGTAATTATGTGTGATGTAGTGTCTTGGGAAACCTTTTATTTGATTCGGTTTTAAATAGTTAATGAATTGCATGATGTCGTCGCGGCCAGATTGCGCTGAATAGTCGACCTCAATTCGATACAAACGATAAAATTTATATACTCTTATAAACTCCTCGTCTAAATTTGTTGGTATTGTCCGTAACCAAACAGAAAATTGTACATCAAGTGTATCCGGCGGGGGAGGTTTGTCCTCCCGTTTCTTAAGTGCGATCCTTGATTCTTCATTCGTCACGCCATATATCTGCTTAGGGAATTGTCTGTAAATTGAAATAATTTTTATTTTATTATAGGGATAACTTCATTACATAAATATTAAATCTTAGAAATTAACTGGAATTCAGTTGAAAACCACCCAAACGTGGGGTGTATGCGGCCATTCCGACTCGGAACAAATACATTTTTTTTAAGCGGGGAAAATCATCGAATGACTGCTCCCGCCTGGGTGAGGCGGAAGGGAGTGTCAGACTCTTACTGACTAAAAAACCACCTCGTTCCTTCTCCTGCATGTCGAGCCGGAGCCCCGGTTATCCGTTAGGTTCTCCGCGACTCCGAATCGGCATCGGCCCTATTGGGCCCCATCTGTGGTTACGGTGGCCGGAGATCGTCCCGCGATCCCCGACGCCCGGTGTGTCCTTCGCGATGGCTGGGTTGCAAGGAGGCAGCGAAGCGCTGCCTCACGCGTCCCGCCTCCTCCTTAGCTAGCATAACTGCATCGCAAAAGGAGGAGACGGCATCCCAGTCCCCTTCGCTCTGCATCATGGCCTGCACTAGGCCTGGACGCGAGAGGTCACCATCGCCGATCACTTCCCTGAGGGCACGGCGGTGCTCAGCCCACGCAGGGCATTCCGCTACAGTGTGTTCCACCGTGTCCTCAGGGCGGTCCTCGCCGTGATAACAAATACATAGTTGTATCATGGTATAAATATTTTTCCCAGTGCGCCAAGTTGTAATAACGGTGGTTTTTTTTGACAAAGGATAATAGGGGCGCTTATGAGCTGCTCGTCTAGGATATTGGATGATCTTACCTATATATCTGCCATTTGTCCTCCTCAACATTAACTTTGATTTTAATTTCATCATAAATTTGGTTGCAAATTCCTTCGTAACCAAACATGGCGTCCACAATGAGATTAACTCGGTTATTATCGCTTTCGTCCAGCCACTGTGTAATATATGGTATTACCTCTTTGACCACTTCTGACCTTTTCGTTAAAAATGGTTCTCTCTGAAATAAAAAAAAAAATCGGTTGCCTGTAAAGTCGGTATACGGGCGAAAGTTTTACGTGACAACGACTTTGAGTGGTAAAATATTATGTCTGTCTCTCTCGCTCTTAGGCGGGCTAACCATGCCCGAGTGGAAGGGACGCGTGCCTCTCACTCGCTCTCATTGTGAGCGCATAACGTGAGCGGAGCGTAACGCAGTTTCTTGAAGTGTCACCCGGCAAACCAATTTATAAGACGTTGTCACGTCAAAATAATATTTATTAGCATCAACTACTACAACCCGTGATACTAGGGTCCGCACTATGACTCTTCTCTACACAAGTGTGGGGGAGCCATTTTTGCGCACGAATGGGCCGCCTCGACCGGAGTGATACGACGGTCTCACAGAAAATCGACGTGAAACAACGCTTGCGTTGTATTTCGTCGTGTGCGTGAGGTTAGCCTTGGCCCAATTATCCTCCCCCCTACATAATTTCCCCAATCCCTGAATCCCCAACAATCCTCAAATTTACCTAAAAGCCGGTAACGCACTTGTAACGCCTCCGGTGTTCCGCGTGTCCATGGGCGACTCCGATGGCTTACCATCAGGTGATCCGTCAGTTCGTTTTTTTTTGAAGAGGGCAAAATCGAGGTGACGAAAAGTGGTTGATATTCGCCTGGAGGAGGTGGAATGGAGCCATTATTGGCAGCCCATCACGACCTCCTCCTCTCGTGCGATGGTGGCGGCGGTATCAACCGCGGCGGCAGTGTCGGCAGCGGCAACAGCGGAGGCGCAAACGACGGGGGCTGCAGAGGGCCTACCCATGCCACCTCTGAAGTGCATTTGGCGCTCACGTGCTCCCCCACGTGGCATGGTAGCACCTCAGAGTCATGGTAGCAGCTGCTCCGCAAGTGATGTGTCGGACTCAGAGTCCGACCCCATCTGAATTGATGCCCGTCTGTGGGGCTTGTTAGACGACTCCAGGGTCTCCCTACGGGCACTAGAGCCACTTGGGTTCCCTTCTACAGCCACTGCAGGTGAGCTGAATTCACCCGCACTCTTCTCCTCTGATGATGTCTTTTTATTATTATTTTTTTTTGAGTTCTCCATTTCAATCCCACGAGTATGGGGGTAATATTCGGTCCGCCCAGGCAGTGCCCCCTGTACCTGGGTAAGTGTGAATTTGTTTCCCAACTAGAGGGTCCACCTGTCCCCTAGTTGGGGGTGCACTCACTGCTGACACTAATCCTCAGCCATGCATACCCACCCTCGCCACGTACCAGAACTTAGTATTGGAGGAATTTTTTATAGAGATTATTTCCTTGCGGTCCAGGCGACCAAACCAAGATCCTCGTCCCGTTCTGAGTCATAAAACATGAACATGATTTCTTCACGGATTACGATATCGACGGTTGCAATCGAGCACAGCTTGTGCCCCGATGCTCCTCGTTGGCAGGGTGAGTGCTCAATGAGCTCCGTCTCTGCCTCTCCGCCATGCTCTCTACTAGGTTCAGAGAGACGGGCGGAGAAACTCGGAAACGCGGCCTCCGCACACAGCCCGCCGCCTCCAGAACCCACCTCGGGTTCGCCCGCCCAGTCCAGAAGTCTGCTGCGGGCGACAGTCACTCCAACCCTATCACCCCCGCTAGGGAGACTGTCGCCCGCACCCAGGGTGCACCACTGGGAGGTCTTCTGGCACCAATGAAAAAACGTTGAATGTAGTCAGCTTTTATAAAACTTAGAAGAATCGGAGTGGAGCTGGACTGATTGTATTTCGAGTATACAGTGATTTTCTATACACCGTTAAATTTTAGTCGTTTTAATCCCATGGACCTGTGGTTTAACTAACAGAATACTACTCATTACAAGCTTGTACTGCGGTGTAACATAAAAAATAAATAAATTGGCAAATGATAAGATTATACTCGCAAAATGTATGAAACCAAAAGTTGCGCCACGAGATAGTTACCTACGTCGTCGTCGGTCGTTGCGTATCGGCCAGTGTAGGTACCTACACGGCCCGATCAAGCATAAGGTTATTGACTCGATCAACTGATGTTTGCGTAGGTAAACAAATAAATTGATTCCAAATTTTCCTTCATACTTTTACGGGCTTAGGACTGACATAACTGTACTAACGGTTCGCATTATTTATTCACTCATGCGAGAATTGATTCGAGTTATTAAAAAAAGTACTTTATTTTTTTAATTTTATCTTTACAAGTCGATAGTGTTTCATGGACCAGTTCGAACCTCCAAGGGATTAAAACGATTCAAATTTAACGGTGTAGAATGAGAAGCTGGACATATTTTATTCAATTAAGATTATGTTCGCTCGAGCGGTGGCTTTGAGAAGTAGGAGTCGTATTACTGTTTGTACTTTTTATTTGCCAGTAGTGAAAAACTTACAAAATAAACGATTTTATTTATAAAATAACGATTGTTTACGATATAAAATAACGAACTGGCTGCCGCGCAACGTGTTGCGGGTTCGATTTCCGCACGGAATAACTCTTTGTGTGATCCACAGATTGTTGTTCCGGGTCTGGGTGTGACGTGTATGTGAACTTGTACGTTGAAGTGTGGGGCAAAAAAAAATTTTTTTTCTTTGCACATTTTATTATTTATCGGTTACTTTTCGTTGGTACTATCGACCTGTGGCGCCCTCACTAATTTTCATTAATAAATAGACAAACTGTACTCACTTGGTACGTAGTATCAACATATAGAGCATCAATTTGTATTGGTTCTCCATTATTTTGAAAATGCTTATACTTGGCAACATCGTCTCCCGATATTATAGACTCGCCAGTGAACAAAATCTTTTTCCTTTCATATTCAAATAAGAACATTACGGATCCAAAGGAATGTCCCACTGGCAGTACAGTTACTTCCAATAATTCTTCTTTGCGCGCAGTTTGAATTGACAATGCATTGCGTCCTGTAAAAAGAATAATACTTACTATAATATAATATTATAAATCGGAAAGTGTGTTTTTTTGTTTGTTTGTTCCACTTTCACGCCGTAACTACTAAACCGATTGCTTTGAAATTTTGCAGACGTAAAGTTAGAAGTCCGGATTAAATAATAGGGTACTTTTTATCCCGGAAAAATTTGATATTCCCGAGGGAAAACAAAAGTATTCGTATATATGGTGCTGTGTGTATTGGTATATGTCACATTGGCTTTTTATCCTTTTGTGACGCGAGCGAAGCCGCGGGTAAAAGCTAGTCTTAAATAAGTTTACTTATCAGGAACGAGATAAGCAACAAGGTCATGCTGACAACTGTCATCCTAGTGTGTTACCATAGTATAAAGAAAAGGGAAGTCGATTATCTTCATACAAATGCACCGCGCGCGGCTTATATGTGTGCGCCATAGTATCTATGCGTAGACGCACGCAGACTTTAACAAAAAAAAAAAAATATTTCATGGATTAGAGCTGTTGTTTACATGTTTTGGTGTGTTCACTAAAAATTGTATCTATTAATAATGTAATAAATGTAAAATAAGAAAAGTTTATTACTTAAGACTAACAAAAACCACTAGCACTACTGCAATTGGCTTACTGCCGCGTGGGCAGGGACGTCATGCATTCGTAAATGTTCTACAGTCGGTGGCGCTGTGGGCTGGGTCGTTCCGTCCCTACGAATGGTTGATCGGACGATTGCTGGCCTACACGTCATACCCGTGAACGGGTGCCTTCTGCTGGAACAGGTCGGCTCGTTCATCGTGCTGGTGGGCTGATTCAGTAGGGTTAGTCTAAGATAATAAGACTATAATAATTAGGTAACAACATAAAGTATTGTGTGTAGTGATAGTGGTAGGCGTAGCATGTAAGATATTTATAAAAAATATTATTTGACATGACAATTATGTACTTGTAACATGACAAGGGCACGGACACGAGTCCGTGGAGAAATTCAATTTAATATTTATTAAAAAAAAAAACAAAATCTCGACCCGTTTCTCAGTACGCCAGGCAGGGCTTTTTTTAAGGGGGGAAAATCATCGAATGACTGCTCCCGCCTGGGTGAGGCGGAAGGGCGTGTCAGACTCTTACTGACTAAAAACCACCCCGTTCCTTCTCCTGCAGTCGAGCCGGAGCCCCGGTTACCCGTTAGGTTCTCCGCGACGCTAGGGCTAACACTGCACGAGGTTCGCGCGCGCATCACTTATCGGCACTGTTAAATGAATAAAAAATGTCTGATAATCGTAGAAGAACGTATTGCTGTGTGTCATCGATGCCAGAACTGTCTCTGTTCAGATTACCTATTGAGCAGTAAAGATAAGCTAGTTACTTATTCTAGCATAATATAATTTGTACTTGATGATGAGATAACTACTTACTTATTTTTTGTTTGTGTTAGTTTCCTATCAGTATCACATAGGAAGTAGGTAGGCCCAATTTCCTACTAGAATGTATTAAGTAGGTACTTTAGATCTGGCAATTGATTTGCCGCTATTGTCGCCTATTGTTTTGTTTACGTTTAGTTATGGTTATGTTGATTTCTCAGTATTGTAGGTATGTATAGTTACTAAGTACCTACCTAATTACAGTTATAAAATCGTAATTCAAAATAAGTAATTGACTATGGTCTATCGATTTATGTGGTTAACTAAAGGTAAACAATCTTGGTATGTAAGCTGCGCCTAAACTAAATGTGACAACCCTAAGACAGTAGGCAATTATATCGCGGATTGGGAAGAAGATGGCCTACTTCCTTTCCTTTTTACTATGCTGTTACCAGTGCAACTGAATCGTCACCTTATTAAACAGCTCAAGGTCACTCAGGGCGCCGTAGAAAGGGCTATGCTCAGTGATTTTGTAAGAAAGAAATCCAAAGGAACAAAAGTCGGTAACATACACATAACATCACGCCTTTTATCCCCGAAGGGGTAGGCAGAGGTGTACATTATGCCACTGTACAATGTAACACCCACTTTTCACTATTTATGCTATGAGTCCCATGTAATAGGGGGTGAGCCTATTGCCATATACCGGGCACAATTCCAGACTCCGTGCTTCTACTGAGATTTTTTTTAAAACCCCGAAATACTTTGCCCGACCCGGGAATCGAACCCGAGACCTAAAATATAGACGCTAGAATACGGCGTGAAAGCGGAACAAACAAACAAACTCACATTCCGATTTATAATATTAGTAAGAATAGTAAGGATTTAGGATAATAAAATATATACTCATTTATTCAAATAAAAAACTTAAATTAAAAACTAACTGTAACTTAAAAAAATTAAAACTAAATATTACTAAATTAAATACCAATAAAAAACTAAAGATTAAAATTAATTATAAGAAAAAAACAAAAACAACTATTTAGATAAAGCGTCGAAAAATTCGTCCGCATCGACGTCAGTGGGGAAAGTACCCAGAAGGCTGGCAGCATTGCCACGTTGTATGGCAATGCTTAACCTCTGACCGAGAAAAAGACCAGCCCTCTGCTCACGAGATGTGTCAACCAGGCGTTTTGAAATATTTTTGAATAATTTAAGTGCACTCGGACCCCACGGACCTTTTTTTTTTTTTTTGATGACGGGGTGAAACCTTCAAAAGGCGCCCAGCCTTTTTGGGGATAAAAGACTAGGGAGTGTGGGATTTTTACCTCACTAAAACCTCCCTGGTGGCCACCCTCAACACCTGAATGGAGGCACCGGGTCTTCTAGAAGAGACCTGCTCCGGCGCCTCCACGGTGCAACGCCTGTTACGACACATCCCTAGGGAGACGGGTGTCTCCTTTAAGCCTTGCTGTCTACGGCGGCACGTGACCACTGTGCCACCGTCTTCCCTGAGACCACAAGGTGGGCACCTAGAGTCCCCACT